GTACATGTGCCTCATACTGATATGAATAAATGAAATAAATGGAGACGTGTGTATTGCTTTTTCAGTGGGGGAAACTATCGGACATCGTTGGCAGAAGGTAGGGTCATTATCCTTTAGGCCATGTTGATTTGATTATATGGATGACATCCGCGCGCGCATGAATTTTCGGCCGTTTCAAAAAAAAAGTTTTCAATCATACTGTAAATCGTACAAAACAGTTGCAAAATAAGCAAAAATATACCGTAAGTTACAAAAAAAACCATACCAATGTCGTAGAATGCCAAAATCAAACGAAAAAAGACGAAATTGTAAAGAAATGAACTTGAAGACTAGATTATTCGCCAAACCATATTCTGTCCCATTTGTTCAACCCTCATGACCACGTAGATTTCATAATGAAAACAACTTTTTTTTTGCAAAAACTTAACTTTTTTTTATTCGCACGCGCGCATCAATTTTGGGGTTCCCGGAGGATGTCATCCATATAATCAAATCAACATGGCCTATAAGCTAATTGACACAACAAAGGTACAGTAACTTTCGTAATGTCTATAACTAGACATACAGACACATGGGTACAAAAGAATTGAACTACATACAAGGGGTTTACCGGTTGTGCGAAACAAACAAATATGTTATGATGTGCTATCATGAAAGTTCATCTGTGTTGGTAGTTACATGTTTAAAGTTAAAACTTTTGATCCAACACAAAGAATTCTCTCACCTAGAGCTTTTGATTAGTCACTCTGGTCTTCCTCAGTAGACTGACCCAGTGAAGCTTGTCACGTGGCTTCACGTGTTGACGTCACACTTCAAAGAAGCCACGTGACAAGCTTCACTGGGTCAGTTTACTGAGGAACACCAGAGTAACTGGTGGAAAGTTCTAGGTGAGAGAATTCTTTGTGTTGGATCAAAAGTTTTAACTTTAAACATGTTATGATGTGGTATACTGTTGTGTTTAATGTATGAGTGTGTTTCTTGCTGCCCAGACCCATCCTGCTGAGTTCGGCCATGGCGATATTGGTAGGCACGGTCCTAGTGGGCTTCAGGTGAGACATACCTATAGAACTTGTCCTCTTGTCCTACACAATGTTTTACATATATTTACCACCTTGAAACAAGACGTACACAATATTAGTTTGTAGTAGTTTGTAGTGTATGTACTGTATGTTCATTTCCAACATGACTGATTGTAAAAGTTTAATACATTGTACAATTAGTAGTGATTAACCCTTAAGCAAGTTCCCAGCATGATGTAATCATTTTATGGTTAATTTTACATGAAAGACTAATGATTATGAAGTTTAGAATTTAAGCCTTACTATGCTCGATGTACGTACGGTACAGTCCTGACATGCCATGCATTGTTGTGCGTTGTATTGAGTTATACTTAATCTGTAAAAAAAACTTGTCCTCTTGTCCGCCCTTTTACTTTAAGCCCCTGTCACACATTCACGATCGAACGCACACGAATTCTTTCTTGAACACCAGCCGAACATTTTGATACATCTTGACCGCTCGACATGTTTCCTCACAGTTTCTCCTTCCTGTGGACCGTGGGCGTGATGTTTTTTGAAGGACTTCTGAACGGCACCCTGGGCGTATCCAAGACGTATCTTTACGAGGTGAAGTTTTATTAAATTTTATTCCAACACGTAATCACAAGACTTGGTGACGGCACACTCATGTTTTTTTTCAACTTATATTAATGCCGCCGGCCACCAACACAGGGGACAATACAATACTCATTTTCTTTATGATATTTGGTAGGTAGGATGAAGTAGGCAAATGGAAGGTCAAAATCAATTTTGGGTACTCTAGCGGTTTTGTAAGGTACTGCAGAGGGGCACATTGTATTACTAAGAATTACCTCTGATAATTGGTCCTCTGTGTGTGTGTTTTTCTGCAGATCTGTCCTCCCAAGTTCCATTCAGTTGCCTTTTCTGCTGTCTGGATTCCTTGCGCTGTGGCCCACTTTGTGGTAAGTACATCAACCAACTATCCACGAGACGCTATTAAAGAAAAGTGTTTATATGTAGTTATATACTTCTCAGTTGATGATCTTTCCAGCTGGTAGAATTCTTTGTTGTCCAGCCTTCTAATCAATACTGTTACGTACTCTTACCTAGGGCCCTTCACTGGGTGGATTTTTGGCCTGTCCAGCTACAAGATTCCAGACGTTCGACAAACCTTTCTTCAAGCAGTTCCCGTACCTGCTGCCCTGCGCCGTAGCGGCATGTGCACAGTTCTGCATTCTGATAGGTCAGTTTAGGTGTGACGCACACGTCTAAGTTGTACGTGATTGGTAGAGATATAAGTCCCTTCCCTGTTACGCAATGTAAGCGTTTATGACTTTCTATAACGTCGCAGGAATGAGTCTATTTCAAGTTAGTGTACCGATTGTCTCAAGGCATAGGCACACGTGCACATGCAGTGTGCTTGCTAGGATTACATATTCAGAGTGTGTGATTTTGACTGGTACAAACCTTTTCACAAAATAGGAGGCTGCTTTTTGCTGGATGAATCTCTGGAGAAAAGCCCCAAAGATGAGTACATCGACCTCACCGAAATGTCTTCACAAGACGTACCAGAAGACAAAGAAAAACGTGAGTAAATGTAAAACTGCTTTGGCTACTTTGTAGCCTACCTGTCGTGCTTGTGTCAAACTGTTTGTCATTCGGTACATACTAGTCGTGACCGCCCTAAAATCCTGGGACGAGCTAGAGCTAGTGGGTGAACGTGGGTGAAACTGTTGCAATTTCGCCCATAGGACATGAAAACTCCACCATTAGCCTGCTGCGGGACAGACTGGTGCTGACCCCCTGTGCGCTGTACGCTCTCTTCGCGCTGGCGGCCATCTTCTACTGGCAGGTAAGGTACTCCGGATTGTACAAATTTAATCTGTTTATGATGCTTAGACAACTTCCTTAAGGCGTTCCTATCCACCTCGTCCCTAGGGAGACAACTAAGTGATCATCAACATTACAGGAGCAACCAGCTGCAGGCAAAACAAATCTTAAAATAAACATTGCGTATGTACGTACCAGAACGATGTCGTCTGTATGCCCACCAACCATCAAAACCTACTAATCTACCGAGACAATCAATCCATAGCTTCTTGTCATGCTAAAACACACTGCATACTTGTGGAAGTCCTGGAATTCTTGCAGACTGCACACAATACTATACCATCGGGCTCGCCCCTGAGGTGTCGCCCCCCAAAAAAACTAACATTTACAAAAGCTCTGAATATTTCATGAAGGTTTGAGGTCTCCAAATTGTTTCCTGTATGTTCCGCTTTGCTTGTTTGTTAAAATTGTGGCTATCAAGGGAGAGTGACGATAAACTAGACGACATTTATTGACGTGTTGTACTGTATTTTTACCATCCCTGTAGTTGTTACCCCTCCTCCTGGTGTCTGACTCCCAACATGGCGGCTACAACTTTGATGCTGCGGAAGTTTCCATCGTCCTGACTACTCTCGCCATCTACAGTGCCATTAACCATGTATTCCCTTCTTTTTCTTTCTTCCAACATGTAATCAGAACATGAAAGTTCATCTGAGTTGGTAAAATACATAATGAGCATTAAACTGTTTTCCAACTCAAGAAAAATGACTCAGTGGAATGATATGATATACTTTATGACATACGGTTTTACAAAACAAGATGATTGATGAATGTTTCTGTGATCCCCTGTCTTCTTAAGGCAACACTAAACCCTTACATCGCGTCCAAGTTTACCTACAAGACGGTGTTTCTGTCTGGAGTTGTGTTGTACGCAGTGGGGATCATTTTGCTTCCGTCCATGGTCAACATCACAGGTGCAGTAAGGAGTCAACAACTTCTCCAAACAGCGAACTCTAGCGATTTGACACTGAACTTCACGGCTGCTCCTACCTCGCCACCCGTAACAGAAAGTTACATACAGCCAACGACAGAAATGAACGCGACAGTTACCGGCCAGTGTCGGCTAGCCGGGGACAGGAGGAAGACCTCCCAGCATCAGGCCTCAGAACTACCCGCCAGCGTCTGGGGTCCACTACTGTCTGTAGCGTTGCTGATTGAACAGGGAATGTAAGATACTAACCATACTAATCAAGTAGAATCCGTTTCTCTATTTTCTATAGCCTTGCTATATATCAGTATCGATAATTACGAAAGTCCGTATCATATCACATTGAGCCAGACGAAAGGAAACCGTCAGGCATAGCTCGTTTTTCAGGCATAGCTCGTTTCTCTGCGATTGTTTGCATAAATGTCTTTCCTCCGTCCTTCAGCTCACAAACATACCTGGCTGTCATCGTGATGATAGGAAACGCCGGTGTGGTGAGTAACATGCCTCCTACCATGGTGTTTCCGAAAGATTAGCAACCTAAACCCGGGGGGAGGGGGACTTTTGAGGCCCACACCCAATTTCATCTCTAATAGCGTCTGAACGGCTTGTGCTAGAACCGTAAAATGTGGTGACTTTTCCTAAAATATATCTGGGAACAATTTTATATTACTTACATAAGTTCCTGATTTTTCGCCCACAATTTCAGTGTTGTTAAGTCCATGTTTATAATGATGCCCTTTTATGTCGGTAAAGCAATCCAACCGGGGGACCGTTAACGGCATCGCGCAGACCCTGGCGGCGCTGTCCCGGCTGGTGGGACCGGCGGTGAGCGCCAACCTGTTCGCCTGGACCACCGATAACGGTAGGGCGGCAGCTCACTGGCACGCCTATCTCACAACAATCTGCAACACGTGTAAGAATTTAGTTTCAACGGCAGTTTAAAGACGAAGGGAAAGTTACCGGTCGGTTCTCTGTCCCAGAGTTTTTTTTTCTTTCCTTTGTTGGCAGGGTTGCCCTGGCCGCTGGATCACCACCTGTCCTTCTATCTGGTGGCCGTCCTGTGTGTCCTCGTGGCGGTCCTCTGTGCAAGTCTACCGGCTTCCAGCAACCTGCCGAGGGCCGACAGCCTCACAGTATCAGAGGAGGGCGACAGAAGGGAGGAACCCATTTTGGAAGGAACACTGTATCCATTGATGGACAAATAAGCAAAAAGCACAATTTTATCTGACCAACGTCTTCTTGTATAACATATAGAAAAAGCACCTATTAATTAAGTCTGATGCCACAACGTAATTTTCAACAAGAGTCTTATAAATATATACAGTTTTTACCTTCGGGGAAGGAGACATCCTTCCGCGAAAGGGTTTTGTTAGAGATCACGGTGGTAAAATCTGGGCTGCAAAGTTCCCACATGTCATAGAACCCGAACTGTGTTCGATCGTGTTCGATCTGGGGAATTCGAATCGAACCCGCGTTCTATTTCGGGGTCACCTGCGGCCATTTCACTATAAAGCGGCAAAACAAGCCTTTCTACCTCCGTTCATTGCAACAGATAAAAAACAACACTTTTCTATAGATACAAACAGTTTCCTTGACAGTACATGTCCGCTATTATTTTTGGTGGACATGTAACATGTAGCGAAGCTACTGTCGTATCCTTGAGTGACCTTGAATACTGTAATGATTCTTTACACCAGTATGAATAACACAATGCACACTTTCTGGCGATATGACATGTCTCCAAAACTCGTTCAAACCTGGAAACATGGAGAGTCAAACATACCCCATTTACGGCTCAAAATGACTGTAACGGTTGTCCCGAAAATCGTGTTTTAGGGATTTTTGAAAAATGGCCTCAATTTTGAATTTTGGGTAATTTAGTGAGAAAAATGTCAAAAAAATGTCATTTTTTCACCAATATGTCGACAAAAACTAGACTTAAAATCAGAAATTAAAAAATCCCTAAAACACGATTTTTTGTCTTATTCCTAGTCTGCGAAAAATATAAAAATCGGGGATCTGGGGTAATATACGTAGCCAGGTTTGAACGATGTTTGCCTAAAAACGTGATATAACTTGTGCTCGGAAACCCGAAAATAATCGTCTTTCTGAGCGAAATTTTAAAAAATCATCGATTTAACATAAAACGCTAACATTTAAAGGATGTTAAGACGAAAATTTGATTTTAATTTGACGAAATTTACCCCTAAATATTATTTGTGTATTTTCAAATATTTTACGGGTAGTCCAAAACAGGCCAAAATAGCGTCTTGTAACCCGATACCTTTTCGAACGCGCATAGCAATGGGAAAGAATGTCGTAGTGACAGACCGCCGTGGATTTAGATTTTCATGTTCGCAGCTGTTTCTCGCGTTTGGGTGGACGGATTCTTTTGAGACTAGGCGTATGTTTTGCTATTGGGCTGCAGATGATGCACGTTCTTTTGTTTTTATTGAATATGTTTTTTTGGGCGTGAAAATGGTGCCTTTTGGTGGCCCCAGGCCACCCTTTCAGCGTGAAAGTGGTCGCGACCGTTGACCTTCGGCGTGTCTAAGGTGTTATTGGTCTAGTCCATGAAGATGACCCCTCGCAAAGAGGGGTGTCCGGTCTCGATAAATTCTTTGTTTAAAACCATAGTCCTGCAACAATTGTTGTTGTGCACATGCATATTCTGTATGCGAGGCGCAACAATTGTTCTTTGGAGGGTATTTTTAGTACGCCGTTCACAGGACGTGTGATCGGCACTTCCGGTTGGCAAAGCTACCAATGGGTCAGGGGTCAACGTACTCTTACGCAATCTTTGTTACCTTCGCCAAGAAGGTTATGTTTTCGTAGGCGTTCGTGTGTGTCTGTCTGTGTGTCTGTAAACACGATAAGTTGAGAAAGCTTAAATAGATATTTGGTAGGTGGGTAGGTCTTGTTGAGACCCAGAAATGATTAGATTTTTGGCCCCCTGTCGGCTTCCTATGGTACTGCAGCTGAACATCTCGTTTTGATATCTCATGACCTAGACATGCTAGGGTCACGAAATTTACATGATAGGTAGCACTTGTGATTGGGAAGAAGTGACGTGAGTTTGGGTCCCCTAGCGACTTGTTCCAGAACTGTAGGGCCATTTGTTTAATAATATTCAAAAGAGGATAACTTAAGAACCGGTTGATGAATCATCATGATTTTTTGTATGTAGGTAACTTAAGTGATGCTTGACATAATTATGCAAATTTGGATGTTGTTTGCATAATCTATGAGGAAATTCTATAAATCAATTGCATTACATGATAGAACTATTTAAGCTTGTGGCATATATAATTGAGAACAAGAGAAACATAAACAGATATTGATTATGTAAATTAAGAATTTATTTGCATAATTAATGAGAAACTCTTGTAATTCAGCAATGGTAACTGCCTGCAATTTCATACTTGGGTATTTGAAAGTTAATTGAAGTTGAACATCATTAAACATAATGACAATTCACATATTCAAATCAGGACCTCATTTGCATAATTTTGATAACATAGTTGCAAGATCCAGTTCTTTTCTTTACAATAGTTGTTTATTAATACCTAAATACAGGAAAATTTGCACCTTCCGACACGGTGATGTTTGTTCAAAGCCACTCCCATGTCAGAGGTGACATTTTGACATTTGCATGGCGGAACCTCATGTTGCTACATGTGTTGCTAGCGATCTCTAAGGTTGCTGACCAACTTGTGCCTCACAGGTGGGTATATATTCACTGTACCAACTCTAAATCTCTGGAAGGTTTGCCAGACTACTAGTATCATAGGTGCTAACTGTTTGAGAAGACTGGAACGATTTTAGTGACAGAAGCTTCCCCCCTTAGCTGAATACACTTCTAAGTGAACTTGTAATCTTACCTTGTAGAGCGTCAATGGGTATCCTCGGGACAAAGTGATCGCTGGAATCCTATTTGTCTCTGATTCTTCCTTTAAAATCCTCTTAAGAACGCAGGAATGCCATTTCAGAAGGTTCAATTTTCAAAATTTTGCGGGCTGGCGGGAGCATGCCCCAGCCACTAGGAAGCTCGCGCCTTTGATGCTCGCTGGTCCCTCGGGAAGTAGGAAGAACCCCACCTCCCCCGACCAAAATCCTGGCTACGGGCATGAAAATGACCTAAAATTTTGTTCAGAAATTGGTTTATGTTTAGCTGGGAAAATGCACATAACGTTACGTGTCAAAGTACGGGTAACAGACCGTGCCTGAGGACCTGAGCGAACCCGACCTCGCCATAGAAAACAGGTTAGACAAGATTACCTTCGCCAAGAAGGTTTGCTTTCAGAGGCGTTCATGTGTGTGTGTGTCTGTCTGTCTGTCTGTCGTTTTGTCTGTAAACATGATAAATGGATTGTCTTGGTACTTGGTAATTGTTTAGGTCTTGATGAGACCTGGAAATGATTAGATTTTGGACCCCTAGCGGCTTGTTATGGTACTGCGGCTGAACTTCCGGTTTTGATATCTCATGATCTAGACATGCTTGGGTGACGAAATTTGGATGGTAGGTAGCTCTTGTGCTGGGGAAGAAGTGACTTGACGTTTGCCCCCCTAGCGGCTTGCTCTGAAACTGCAGGGCTATCTGTTTGAAAATATTCAAAAGAGGATAACTCAAGAACCGGTGGACGGATCGGCGCGATTTTTATCGGAGGACGGATCGTCGTGATTTTTGGTATGTAGGTAACTTACGTGATGCTTGATATGATTGACAATTATGCAAATATGGATGTATTTGAATAATTCATGGAGAAATTCTATAAATCAGTTGCATTCTATGATAGGACTATTGAAGCTTGTGTGATTGGTAATTGATAAGGAGAGAAACACAGCTAGGCAGATATTGATTAATATCTAAATTAAGACTTAATAACATTTTTATATTTATGTAATGAGAACTGCCTGGAATTTCATACTTGTGGTATTTGAAAGTTCAGTGAAGGTGAACATCATTAAACATGATGTATTTAAATCAGGACCTCATTTGCATAATTTATGAGGAAATTCTAGAATGGCATTGTTTGTTAGTATAACTGTCTTTGGTTGAGAATATGATAAACTGATATCATTCATGAAAATGAGAATATCCTATTTTGCTAAATCAAGGGGAATAATCTATAATTTGTCAGTCATAAATAATAACATCATTTGGCGAAGGTATGAGATCGGGGAACTCTAGTTTTGGATGTTTTCGGCGTATGTTACGACTTCTAACTTACACATACCGCGGTATACGGTCTCAGACGTTCTCGACATGCATTTTTACCGAGGTGCAGACCTTTATTTCCCCGATTTATACTAAGAATCGTCGCAATCAACTATACATAACAAACAACATATAGAAATATACAATAAAAAGCCCGGAGGTATAAAATCTCAGATTTTACTTGTTAGCTCTTAAGATGATTTTATTATTGTAATGTATAACTAATTGCTTCTATGTTATGTCACACCTAATTCAGCGAAATCGACTTAGCTGCCTAAGTGTGACAACTGTGAACTGTTTGAAGTGTATTTTTAAAGGTTGCGAATATTCTCTCTCTCTCTCACTCACTCACCCCAACTGGTGAGGTACAGAACGGATAGGTAGAGTCAAGCAAACATCCAAATGAAGACCTCCTAACCACAGAAAAGAAACGCAAACTGGAGTGGTGTCGTCTTGATCGGATAAGAACACAACAATAAGTGCTTACCTTCCGATGATGTCTTCTAGGGTCTGTTTCATCACAGTAAACGATTTTATGTATCCAAATCAGAATAACAGGCGTTACATACAATCCCCACTTACGTTTCACGGGACAGTGGCTCTATGAAAAATACTCACAAAATGTATGATTTCTACACATTGGCGACAATGATAACAACTTCCACGACTGCCACATTCTATTCGGAAATCAACACAGTGAACTAGAACTTGTGTTTGAAGAATAGTCTCACCTGGTGCGGAGTCTTCCGAGTGTGATTCCCAGGCACATATTTCCAGGGTCTGAGCATGCTCAGGACGGATTCTCGAGTGTGGGCTGGAGAGGCAGGTTTGGAGGAAAGTGGAATTTTACATCATTTGTTGTTGATGAGGGTCAGATATCCAGGAAAATGATAATTCTTACACTTAGTCACACAAAAAGGAGAAACTGCTATCTCTGGATAGAATTATAATGACTAGTTTAGCTTTTAAAGTAAGTAAGATCCCTATGCCTCAGTGTCACTGTTATGCAAATTTTCATAAAATACATTTTTCATTATATGTCGATTAATATGTTAATGAATATTCAAATGCCAATAAACATGCAAAAGGTCAATAAATATACAGAACCAAATAGATTTGACAATGATACCAAAATCAAAAGCATATTACAATTTAGTACACCCAATACAAGTTACAAATGTACCTGTAACAGCATCAGTAACAGAACTTTGGTGATCTCACTTCTGACCAGGATGTCACAAAATGCACCGAAGGGAAGGAAAGTGCAACCAATTAGAATTATACACCGTAGATATTTTACTGTTGCATTCCCTAAGTCAGATATAATACAACATGGGGTATTCCGTATCGCCCAAGGTACCAGCCCGACTCCGCGTCGGATCGCCCGACATTCCATCCAAACACATACACACACGCACACTAACACACAGAGACACACACACACACACGAACACACACACACGTGCTTGTGTACACACACACACACACATGCACATACATGCTTGCACACACACACACACACACACACACACACACACACACGTCTCATATCCATAGTAACAAATACACTTAAAAACACACACACACACCTTTAAAGCCACTCTAAATGGTTAATAAATTTTCAAAATGAACGATTCCATGACTATACAAAGCTACTTGACTTTGTATGTATTCTGATCAATCTACATTTAAATTCGACCTACAATGTATTGTATAAGCATTCTCATCCATGAGTGCATTTCAGCACCAAGGAGAGAATCTCATTTTTTTGTTTTAATGGGCTTCGTAAAAGAGAACATCGCGGCGTTCAATGGCTCCCTATATTACAAAATGTAGGTTAAGTACAAAGTCATTTATCTTTTGTTAAAAGCAGCTAAATTCTACTTCTCAAGTACTACCAAACTGCAAGTACATAATACTAGACTAGTACAACACAGGGGGGGTGGGGTGTATACACGATATTGGAAACATTCAAACATTGTAGTGAATATTTTGCAAGATAAATTATAGTAAAACATTATTTATTTCAGTCACGGGACAAAAGAACTCAAAGACGAGATCTTAACCGGGTTGAAGAGGAGACAGAGTGTGTCTCGAAAGCTCCCCAGTGTAGCTGAGTTAACATTGACGTGTTTTGGAATAAAATTTGTCAAAAAATGTATTTCAGTTCCCTTCTTCCTTGACTTCACAGTCACTGCAATAATAATTGTGATTAGCTTGGCAATGCATACTATTACTTAGCATCTATTTGTGTGAAAAAGAAGAACCTGCATCACCAGGTGACTAGAGGTCCAACAGAAGATTACAATGTGTAGTATACAGTCATGTATTTGTTAGAGGATTTGAATGAAAATAGTCAGTGCTATATTCTGTCACTAAATTGTATATTTTGTATCAACCAATGACAAAATTAGAAGGAACAACACTCTGAAATGCATATTTTTTTAAATTATTTACTATACATATGTCATAATGATTTGCCTATCATTCATATGTGCAACATTATATAAATTAAGAGAATTGAGCTCGAATGGACAATAATATTGGCTTGGCCAACACACTGTTACATGATTGTTTGGTAAGTAAACTTTGAGTAAATATTAACTAATTCCAGCAGCCAACTCTACCCAGCATTCCATGCCTGCAGGGCAAAGGCCAGTGGCGCATACCCAGAGGGCCCAGTCTGAGACCCCTTTGAGTGAGTGCAGCCAAACCAACTGATAAAGCCTTTTTCTTGGTATGTGTGGATAAATGCTGGCATTTTCCAGCTGGAGAGTTATTTCTATTTCTATTAACTTGAAAAAACTGGCTGTTAGGGTTGTTTTGGCTGCTTGGTAGTTTCTAAAACTAATCCCATCTTGTTGTCTTTTGGTGGTCTTCAAGGGGGTCAGAGGTCATGCTGCCAGTGTTTGCATTTGCCGTGCCAGGTATCGCTGGTCAAAAAGTGAAATTTTTGGACTAAATGGACAATTTGGAAGTTGGACTACCCTGTCAATATGTGTTTGCAATAGTTGAACACTCAAGTAGGTGATTGTTGACAGCTCAGTTCTTTAATGTTTTCCATATATTCCAATAGGGGCTGGAATTAGTGGGCTGTGCCCTGCAGTACAGGCAAACAATGACAAAATGGCTGCCGCAAGAAGTTTGGACAACACTAACTCTAACAAAGAAGGTAAAAGAATCCTTAGTTATCTTTCTACAGCATTCATATGCTGAATACATTATTAATTACCATTTACTGAGGATAAATTCGCACAAAATGGATGGTATTATAAGCAAAAAAGAAATGTTCCATACAGGTCAAAGTTCATTTGGAAAAGTTGGTGAAGATACATATTAAGTTTTTTAAAAAAATAATGAGGTTTAGGTTGCACAATTTCCCCCATGACTAACTGAAGCACTGTCAGTCCAGCACAGTTAAGTAGCTGATGAATTTTATTGCTACATGTACAAGAATGTAATGTAAAGGAATAAACAACTTGATCTGTAGCTTGAAGGTCAAAGTCCTTTAGTCAGAGTTACTGTTTATCAGTAAAAGGCTTGGTGGGTGGTGAATTCACTTTATACTTATGACTAAAAGCACAGCCAGACCAAACATCAGAACTCTGTCATGTCACAAAATATGTCCACTGCCTTGACGAAAATGACATACCCTCCATTACAAAGACTGCTAAATGCACATTTTAACATTTACTGTGCTAGCTGTACTTAGTGTAGTACCTGTTTGCCACAGTGGCACGTACAGAATGTACATTTATATTATGTATCCTGGAGGACTATTATTATTACACATTTCCTATAATGTAATTCTCTTTCAAAAGATAAATTTAAAAGTCTTTACTAGGTTACTAAAACTTACTTAGTGTGCGCATGTACATTGTACATGCTTTTTGATAGCATTCAGATGGGACATATGTTTGTTTATCTTTTTGAAAATAGAGTTTAAGAACTTACATCATACAAATTTTCCCCACAGATGAGTCTGCTGTCTTGCTGGTCCATACTGAGTATGGCAAAGACAAAGTTGGAAGCTCATTCCTACACCGACAGGTGGTAGAAACAATCAGGGAACGTGAACCAGACATTCCTGTGTTCAGTACTGTTTTACAAGCAACTGAAAAGGACAAACAAGATGCTCAACAAGATGGAGTGGAGCTGATACTGCCTAAACTTCAGCCAGGTGACACAAGGACTGACCCAACACCAGACTGGCTGACATTTGATCATTGCTCCAAATACCCACATCTTCCTACAAAGGTAAGGAGCATTGTGGGACATGCTGATGTCACAAGTAGGGCTGCACTAAACATAAAAGATGGCCGTTGCCCAGAAGCAAAAGTCGTTCTTATTTATAATGACACATCAAAAGATACTCAGGGGAATGAGAAGGTTGCTACTGTAAATAACTCTGCCCTCCAAAACGCACAAGATGCTGATGTGGTCTTCTCTGTTGGAAACAAGGTATTTGATCACTTTGAGAACCAGTTCAGAGCTACTGACAAGCAGCCTGAGCATTTTGAGTTTCTACCAAGACCATCCAAGAAGTTTGAGCACACAAAAGCAAGCTACAAAGATGCAAAGACAATGACGATTCTGTCCATTGGTAGAGTGAATAGTGTTGACAATCTAAAGGGACATGACCTTGTAGCTAAAGCCTTGGGCATTGCGGCCGGAAAACGGAATATGGAGTGTCATATCAGAGGCATCAATGAAGAAGACTTCCAAGCAAGTGATAAGGACATTCTTAAGACACATTTCAAGACAACACATTTAAAGCCAACCGTTCTTCCCTATGGAACACTGACAGACCTTCACAATGACATGTTGAAGGCCCACCTTGTGTTGATACCTTCCGAAGAAGAACCACTTGAACTTGCAGGTCTGGATGCCATTGCTGCAGGAATTCCTGTCCTTGTTTCTGACAAATCAGGACTTGCAGACTTCGTGACCAAGATATCACCAGAGTTCTGTTATTCTGTTGTCAACATTGAGGGAAATGAGGAGGACAAAGTAAAGCAATGGGCCAAGCGTATTGAACAGTCACTGAGTAACTGTGAGACAGAGTTTGAAAGAGCAGCAAGATGCAGGGACAAGCTCCTGTCTGCAAAGTACTGGGAAGAGTCTCATCAGCAGCTCATCTGCAGCTGTATACAGACTGGTGAGTCACAGATATATGCTTGATCAGCTCTAGCCAGCTCAGATGTTTTTTTCCGTTAGCACAGGTTCATGATAGGATGTGTACATCTGTCGTGTCTGTGTGTGTGTGGGGGGGGTATGCTGTACATGTACTAGTAGGTGCAACGCAAGTGGCAAAGGCCCTCAAAATTTAGGAAAGGTAGCTAGTAGGGGGTTTAGGCGCATGCTGTCTGACTGTGTGAAAATCAAGCCTTCAAAATTCACAATTGCCCACAGTTCAGAAGGATAATCAGTGTTCCTTTCAATGTTTTGATACCATTTTGTCTGTTAAGATTGACAAGTTGACGGATTGGTTTTCTGTCCCAAGCAAAAATAAGTGGTTCAAAAATGTGTGTTGGCAAGTGCCTTGTGCTGCTAAATGATATAAAACATGTAAAATGTATGATCTTATTTTCTGGTCAAGCTCATTGAATATAATATATTTCTATCCATCAGATGACAGTACACAACAATCATCAATATCTGAGGTCCAGATAGGAAGTGTACCCCCCGTGTCATCAATCGATAGCAGGAAACCATTGCAGGCAGGTAAGATAATTTTGAAGCAATTTCTTTCAGATAGTATGGAAGGCCAAAAGTATGACACAGTATACAATACAGTGTACAGTATTATATTATGGAATCAGAGTTACTGTAGGTCAGTGCAAGTTGGCAAAAAAAACTTATCTATTGAATCATTTTGCTAGAATAATTCAAAAAGTTATTTAATATATGTACTCTGTTGTTACCATTTTTTAACTGTGTTAAATGTTTAAAACTGACCACACATATTGTACAATGTAATCTACCAGCAGTCAACTTGAAAATAGACTTAGTCTAGTAGTCAATCATTTTGAGATATGTACTGTTACCATACACTATTTTAACCAGGTGGGTCATCCAGAGAGACAGGACGTTCTTCAGATAATAAGGACACAATGACTGAAAGGGCCAACCAGTCTTGGACTGAAACGACAGAAGCACCTGCCCAAGGACCTTCAATTTTGTATCAAGCAGCTATACCTCACCTTGTTGGTATGTTTATAAGGTTTTGATAACATCATGATCATTATAATTTCTAAAAAAAAATTTAAACATTACCAGACAACAAGCAAGTTGGAGTTAGAGAAAATTCCTGAATACATTGTAAAAAAAAAAGTTGAATTACTTAGTATCAGTTATACATGTACATGTATATATGAAATAATTCCAAGTACAAAGAAAACTGTGTCCTGTAAAATTGAATATTATGTAAAATACAGTACTTTACATGCACCATTGCTTTGAACATCAGAATGTCAAAAAATCTTTTACTAAAATCAGTATTGAGTTACATGTAGCTGACTTCCTGTTTCCACTTCCAGGTGGACCCCCTCTGCTTCCTGTTGTGGTGGAGATCATTCCACAAGTGCTACCAAGTGTTGAGACCCCAGAAGACATGCTGGATTTTGCATCTGCATTAGAAACTCTTTCTACTGTGACAGGAAATGGAGAATCTGATGAGACACTTCCTAATAGTCTGTTAAAACAGATAAAGGGCAGAATAAAAACTATCACTGATCTAAAGACAGTAACGAAAGCTATTGAAAAATTAGAGAAATTTAAAGGCATCAAAGTTTCCTCTTTGAAGGAAGGCAGCTTGATCTTCTACCTACAGTGTACAGACATGTCTGGGTTGGGTGATCTCTGGTTCATGTACAAAAATGGAGAACTGGACAATCTGCTGCACAGTAGTTTGGTAAGTGAGGAAACTCTACAACAACTCCATGCTGAGAGCATTTCTGTGAAGTCAACCATCAACATAGAGGACTTCAGGAAGGCCCTGGTGTACCTCCTAACAACATCTTCTGCTAAAGGTACATTTATGTATCTTCAGATTAAATTTTTCTTTAAGCTCTTTCATATCAGGTATTTAATTGATTTATTGCTTTGCTATACATATACAGCTATACATTGCACAATGCAGATGGCTTATTGTTTTCTTTTGCATAAAATTAAATACATTTACACAATCCAAAGATTTTGAGACAAATTTGAACTGCATACTATATATTATAAAGAATATGTTGGCAGCTGAAGAGTCAATGTTCATAAGGACTTTTATGATGATGATGACATAAAAAGCAATATAACAATTGTAAATGTCATTAATGCTTAGTCTATACTACACTATCATAATTTCAATAAAATGTGAACAAAAAATTTGCTAAAATCATCCTCTCTGCTTGATGTTTAAGGCAAACCCACATCAAGACTACCCCTGGAGTACCCCCTCTACCAGCCACACACCCACACCACTAGGCGCGTGCTGGATGTGCTTCATCTGGATGGTACAAGCCTGACAAGGTCTCCAGGGAAACAACAGGAGCTGCACATCCCATCCACTGCACAGACTGAGGACAGTAAGGATCATCTTGGGACCAAACTTGGTGATCAGCCAGCAGCAGGTAACTTATAAATGAGCAGTTATCAACAAGAAGACAGTTGTTACAGTACTGTCAGGAGTAACATTTAGCACATACATGTGCATATACCATTGTCAATATCCTATTCTTGTATACATGTAATACTATGCATAATTAGATACTCCCACTTGCCTCTATACAGTATTTTACCATACATGCTACTCCCGCATTCAACTCTACCACATGCCACTGTCCCGCATGTCACTGCCCCACATGTCACTGTCTTACATTTGTACATGCCATTATCCCATATCCTACTGTCCCACACGCCAGTGTCCCATTCTACTGTCCCACATGCCACCATCCCATACCCTAATGTTCCACATGCCAGTGTCCCATGATATCCTACTGTCCCAATACTGTCCCACATCCTACTAACAGTCCCATATCCTACTGTCCCACATGCCACTGTCCCATATCCTACTGTCCAATATGACACTGTCCCATATCCTACTGTCCTATATGCCACCGTCCCTAATCCTAATGTCCTACATGCCACTGTCCCATATCCTACTGTCCCATGTGCTCCTGTAGTTCCAGAACAAGCCGCTAGGGGACCAAAACTCATGTCACTTTTTGCTATCCCAAGAGCTATCTGCCATCCAAAATTTGTGACCCTAGCATGTCCAGATCACGTCGAGATATCAAAACCGGAGGTTCTGCTGCAGTACCTAGGAAAGCCGCCAGGGGGCCCAAAATCTAATCATTTCTAGGTCTCATAAAGACCTACCCACCTACCAAGTTTCATTCCAATCCATCCACAGCTAATTTCAACTTATCTTGCTAAACCACACACACGCACACACACATACACACACACGAATGCTACTGAAAACATAATTCTTGGCGAAGGTAATGAAGGTAGTTAACTGATAACTTTAGTGATATTTGGCAAAAACTACTTTTCTCTCTTGCCATGTCATGTGAAGATTCCTAGAGGTACATGTACTTCATGTTTGTGCAGGTGCCACTGCATCACCTGTCATAGGTGATCAGCATAGATCCACAGATGTGCAGGCTGAACAGATGACATCTGAGCTGGCCTTGCACACTTCCGTCAGACCTAAAGACATACAGAGACTAAGAGCAGGAAGCAGGTTGTCTACTGCAAGCATTGGTTCAACAGAAAGCCTCCTATCAACAAGAACTACACACTCAACAAGAACCAGTCAGTCAGCTGATACTGGATACGCCACTGCAAGCATCTTGTCTGAGGATGACAGGACGTCTTCAAAATCTGCTTTTAAGATTAGAGGTAAAATTCAGTGTGTCTTCAGAAACAACAGAATCAACTTGAAGGTGATGAGAGTCAATCAAGACTGTTTCATGTATTTGATCTGTTTTTCTTTTTACCTCCATGAAAAATGGAGGTATTGTTTTTGGCGTGTCTGTCTGTGTGTCTGTCTGTGTGTGTGTCTGTGTGTGTGTTTGTGTTTCCACACATTTGCAGTCAGCATAACTTCATAACGCCTTTATGGATTGTGATGATATTTGGCATGCTGGTAGGTCTTAGGAAGACAAAGGTCAAGGTCAAATATGGGCCTCCTGGTGGATGACCTTGGTACTACAGCAGAACTTCCGGTTTTTGTATCTTTTGTCCTGAACATGCTATGGTCTTAACTTTTTGGTGACAGATAGCTTTTCCTGTCAGGAATAAGTGGTGTGGGTTTGGTCCCCCTAGCAGCTTGTTCTGGAACTGCAGGGCACTTTCTGGCGAAATCTTCTAAAGCAAATAAGTCCAAATAGGAACAACGTATTTTCATCATTTTTGGTGTGTAGGTAGCTGAGAGAGAGTTGTACATAATTAAATGCAAATTATGCAAATGATGACTTAATTTGCATAATTAAGGAGGAAATTCTATAATTACAGCGTTTTATATAATAGTTCTGTTAAGGTCTCGGACCGGAGTTTCCCTCCGTATTTCGAGCAATTTGACACCCTCAGCCCGACAGGCTGTCATTTCTGTACTAAACGCGGGTCGGAATTTTTCACTCTTTTGGTGGAAAGGGGTGCCGTGCCGCTTATCAATACACTTGATTGATATTTTCTGCGCCCAATTTATTTAGGGGTAAATGAGGCACATCAAAGTACATTTTGAAAAAAGGGGTCATTTTTTTCGTCATTTTTAACCATGGCTGCATGGAAAAAACGAATTTTCCCAGGGCAACGGCTTAGTACTCGAAGAAGCTCAGAACCTAATGTTTCCAAAATTTGAATTTAATTAAAATCGATGCGATAAGTTTATCGCTATCTTCGATGGCCCGAACACACCCAGAACGCATATAGAACGTACCATCCCGGCGGTCAGGCGAAAAGGCCACATAACCATCCGCGCGGACGAATACCAGGAAGTCTTAGCTGGACCACCAACATTACGCCACCTATAAAGGCTACAACTAACAGGCTTTTCAGAAAATACAAAGATATGTACACAGATATTACGATTTCAGGGATATCGCGGCCAAAACATACCATACAAAGTCACGTTTCCGGCGATTTACTGCGCACTTACTTAGACTCTGGTCAGAATTAAACTCCGACCCGGAACCTTATACATGTAATCTATTTACTCTGTGGCAGGCGGAACATCAACACATACCAATTATGCAAATGATGACCTAATTTGCATAATCAATGTGAAAATTCTGTGAATCCTTATTGGTGAATGATGGGAATTTTATACCTCGTAACATGTGTAAGTTACTTAAAGATACGCTATGCATATAATGTATATTATGTCAATGTCGAGGTTATTTGCATAATTAATGAGGACAAAGCAAGCCCATATTTCATGGAGGTATGAGATCTCAGGAACACTTGTTTATAGTGTTATGCATAGAGTGGTATATAAGATTATTTGAATAAATAATTACTGTCTTAAGTATACTTCAATCAAGTTATTGACAGACCTTTAATGATGCAAGAGGGGAGGACAATGCAGTAAAAAAAGAGATACATGTACATGTATTTTGCCGGTTTTATGTTGACAAATGTTCTTTTTGTTGGTAATTGCTCTGTCCAACATAGAGGCTATTATCTCATATATATATTTATATCATACCATGGCCGCGATAACGTTCGATAACGGGTTCCAGATAACGTTCGATAACGGGTCCGGAACCCGTTATCGAACGCTTCCATGGCTTCCATAAAATGATTCGAACGCGTTTCGCCCTACCCGCATGCGCCCCTTTCG